CTTATTTTAAAAATTATTTTTAACTTTTTAGTTCGATGTTCTTTAAAAGCGTGTTTTTTAGTTTTTTTAAACTATATTTAATAACACGCTTATATTAGTTTCACATGTATGTGTGATGTGTGTTTGTAACTTTCCACGCGGCACGTGTTATTATTCTCGAGTATCCCGTCGTCTAGACTAGACGACGTAACGCATTCACCCCACCCCGCTCACCAATCGCCGGCAACACTAATTCTGTATAATTTTATATTTTTGGTTTTCGTACCCGTACACCTGTGCGTGATATTAATGAGGGCCCGACGCTTTTTTTCACAATACTACTAATATTTTTCGTTCATTATTGTTTAAAGTTAATTTTAAAAATTATTTTCAACTTTTCAGTTCGATGTGCTTTAAAAGCGTGTTTTTTGGTTTTTTTTAACTATATTTTTATAATCATATTGTGATAATATAAAAAATTGTGTTGAAAAATCGACAACTGGATTCAACTACTACACTTANAAATTGTGTTGAAAAATCGACAACTGGATTCAACTACTACACTTAGATCAAATCGATTGGACACGATAACGATCATATAACAATAAGAAAAGAGATATATTGTGTCTCACATAACATTGGGGGTAGAGATAATTGCAAGGTGTGAGAGGTGTCCCGTCGACGTTTCGGTACACGTGACGAACATCAAATCTATTTACCTGCCTATTCGTAACGATTTCTCAGGACAACACTTATGGTCGATTCACATTACACGGAACACGTCAACGTCACGTTACAGATCAGCAGCGTCACGTCAAAATAATTGACATTGTATTTATGTGATGTTGACGTTACGTAACGTGGCCGGTGTATGTGATATAAATACATTGTTAAATATTAGTATCAGTGTCTTGACGTTGACGTTCTGTATAGTGTGAATCGACCTTTATTGGTAAAATAAACGTCACCTGATCTTATTATACAGGGTGTTCAGTAAGTCAGGAAACGGGTTTCTATTGTTCTCATTGTTTGTAACAATGAGAACAATAGAAACCCGTTTCCTGACTTACTGAACACCCTGTATATATTATACTCAATGGGTTCATGACACGTTTTTATATTCGCTATTTAGGCTGCGTCAAAGTCATTGTAATTTCCACCTTTTGTTTTTACATTTTTATCGAAATTTTATCGTTATTATTAAAATGAGATATATTTATTGAAAATGAAAAGCATAATTGTAAAATCACAGTTCACGCATAACTAGTAGATAAAACTTTTGTTGACAAACACCCACGTACTTAAAAGTGAAATTTTTAAGCTACTGTTATCTCACCGTCATTTGATATTGATATCTAGGATGCAACCTAATCTAACATTCACTATGAGTCTTAAATCATCGCTTTTAAGAACAAATTTATGAGGAAGGAATGTTCATAATCGTGTCAATTATGAATATTCGCTAACCGATATACTCTTAAAAACATGCATAATGATATAAAATCTATAAGTACGAAATTATAGGCTCAACAAAATTTGTCCTCCACAATTTTATTCAGAATGAATACCGAATTAGTTTTTCTCAAAAAATAAACTGAAAATCTGAAAAATTATATTGATTTCTTCTAAAAAAACTATCTTATATATTACATTCTCAACAGCTGCTATAGTTGATATTATAAATTTGAATTTTGTTCTAGAATTGCATATTATATTATAGAATATCTTTAATGAAAGTATTATCTTTTATGAAAGTATATTATTATTATTATCAATGTATTTATTTAAGACCTTAATGCTGTTTTAATCAAACTCATTAATAAAGTTAAAATCTAAAGTATCATAAAAATTATTTCAAAAAAATTTTAAATTCTCTTTAGTTTCGATGCGAAGCTGAGAAGGTATTTTTTTTTTTATAGGTGCTTATAGAATTAAAAACTAGAGTTTATGATGCATATACCAACATAATCGGTTCACTGAGATTTGAGAATTTTTATGGGTAGACATAAAAAGGTTAACATCTTCTCAGCCACGCACGTATTAAATATAACATTGAACTTTTTTTTTTGTGTTTATACATAAATTGGATAAAAAAACAAAATTCTTATACTTAAAAAACCAGCACAGTGTGTTCGCGGCTCAGTAGGGAAGTGGCATAGTTGGGTCAAGTGTAATGATATCTGACAGTGATTAAAAACACTGTCATAAAAAACGCTTTGATGCAAATCTGTAAATAGTATTTAATTTTAAAAAATTGGTGGATTAGTGCAAAAGATACATTATCTGGATTTGTAGTACTTATATTCAAAAGTATACTATAGCAATTAAATATAATATGAAATTGACGATTAATAACTTTGTATTTTTTAAAAAAAATATAAAATAGTATATATTGATACTTCTATAAAAATTAAAGGGCTTGATGCAATACTTAATTAAATTTTTTTTTTTTTTACTTAAGAATAAATACACTTAACTACAAGGAAATCAATAATATACTTTTCTAAATCAACTTTTTGCGCCGTTTTCAAATCTTCAATTAGACTATTACTATCAAAATGTCATTTTATCGGCCCTTTAAAGATTATTTTATGAAAGTTTATAGTAAAAAGAAGTTTAATTTATTACCATAACATTTAGTTTAACTCGTTTGAAATTGACATTATAAAATAGAAAATGCTATGAGAATTGAAAAATGGTATTTATATAAAGAGAAATGGGTTTAAAAAAGTATGTCTAATGAATTTAGGACTTAATTATTATTTCTCATAAAAAAATTGTATTAATCCATACATTTTCCAAAAAGTTATAGCAAAATAAAGTTAAATTGTGAAATATAAAACCGAAAATTTTCACACAAAAATAGCATTTGGTAGCATTTTCACCGTGAAGACAAAATAAAGTCCGAAATTTTTTTTCCATAATAAAGAATATTACATTAGCTTTAATTTGAGATGTATATAAAATTGTTAGTATTTCCTAAACACTTTCAAAATTTAAGTTGAAAATGTTAATTTTTTGTAAAAAAATTGTCATTTTAAATCCCCTCCTGTGGGCAGGTAAAAAGTCAGATTTATAAAAAAAATATACAAAATGATAGGTAAAGACATCAGTATCTATGAAAAAAAAAATTATATTGATTTGTTCATTTTTAAGAAAGTTATGGCAATTTTAAGTAATAAAAATTGAAAAAATGTCGAAATTTAGGGATTTTTAAATTTGTAATTTTTTTGGATATTCCCCCCATTTACGGGAAATAAGGGAAATTATTTCAAATTTGAGGGTAATGTCTTCGAATAGATAGGACTTATGATCTTTTGACGTATCGTTGAAAAAATCGGTTCGATAATAGCTGAGAAAATTGGTAACAGATAAAAATAAAAAACACATCACAGTAAAATTAATACCTTCTCAGCTTCGCATCGAAGCTAAAAAAATAGTCATAAAATTAATATTTAAAGTTACATAAGTTGTACAAAAGCTGATACTCTCATAATATATAAGAGCTGAACATCAAAAATATTTCTTATACCTTATATTGAGATAAATATGTAATTAAAAATATTAAAAGTAAACTTTATCAGTATTACAATTATTTTTTGAACTAAAAAAAAATATTACGCATTATTTGATTTTTTACGAAATTTTTATTTTGAACTTATTGCATGCATTATTCATTTTTTGTGCTGATAGGAATTGTATACATTAAATAATCGACCATGTAAAATAAGATATGTGTTGACGCATCTGTTGTTTCATTATCCAATTCGTTCGCCTTATCAATACTTGTCACGTTGTGAATACTAGATAAGGATGTTTCAATTTTTACAAATCCAAGTTCTGCAAACTTATCATCATTTACCAAATCTTCTTCAATTTCGTCCAAATCATTTGTTCCATTCAAAGTTTTGTATATATCATTTTTACATAATTTATCTACGTAATAAACACAATTAGTGTCTAATGCAATCATTATTATTATAAATTTTAATGAAAATGAAAAAAATTCTTTTTATTTTTCAAATAAAGTTCTTTCCAAATTTTCCAGGTGAATTTTTTTTAAGTTAATATAAAGTTTTAATATTGTTTATCCTAAGTAAAACATTGACATAGAAAATCTAACAACACAAAATAAGGTGATGTTTTACGTCAAAAAAAAAATTATTTTTTATAATTTTGGGAGCTTTTAATATAGAAGAAAAGTTGTCGGAACAAATTTTTAATATATTTTTGAAGTTTGGAGTAATTCTGGAATATTTACAAAAGTTTAGATAAAAAAATTCTACTATCTTTACATATATTTTAAGGTTAGAACTATTCCTGTATAAAGAAAAATGATTTGATTTTTAAAAAGTATATCGTATGAAAATAATACGTATTAAGTACTTAATATGAATTTTTAAGTACTTGTATGAATTTTTTCCTTTTTTTAAAGTTATGCCGATTTTAAAATGTGTAAATTTACCGATTCTAAAATTAGTACAAAATGATTGGTAAATACCTCATGTATCTATAAAAAAAGTGTTATTGATCCATAAATTTTTCAAAAAGTTATGGCATATTTAAGTAAAAACAAATTGAAAAAATGTGGAAATTTAGAGATAAATTTGTAATTCTTTTAGAGATATCTCCCATTTACAGTTAAGACGTTTTTCAATTTTCAAGGTGTCTTCAACTAGATATAATTTGAACTAGATATGATTTTTTAATATCAACAAACAATATCGTTTAAAAACTAACTGAGGAAAATTGATACATACACAAAAATTACACCAATTTAGTAGTTTTTTTTAATGAACAATAAAAATATTTTTACTGGGGTTATCAAATTATATGAAAGTATAGATACCATTAACGTCATACAATCAAAAAAATGAGGTATACATTAAAAAGTATTTTTAGTATCACATAATTTATAAAAAATTCTTTTTATTATACCTCAACTAATAATTTTTTTCAAGAATAAATACCTAAAAAAAACCATGGCTAAAAATTAAATTATTCACCTATATTGCTTGGCTAATTAATAAACGTAAAAACTGAATTTTTATTTATTAAATATTAATAATTAATAGTTGGAATAATTTATTATTCTAAAATAATGAAAAAATAAACATAAAAACAACATACCAATAACAGCATCAGTCAAAAATTTTCTTTGTCGTATATTGCCTCGTTTCCTTTGTTTGTGCAAATGCATTTGTGAAATAATCAAATCTTTGTGTTTTACTAGTTGGATAATATAGTTTTTCACTTGATTTCCATAATGAATAATACTGTTGTAGTTAAAATAGAAATTATCCTCTGTAATTGTAATGGTTGGTTCCCTTTCCAACTTTATGCCTTTGTGAAACGAAGCATATTTTAATGATTCAAAATGATTGATGAGTATATTATTATTAGTAATTGGCCAATTACTATCAAAAACTTCCAAAAGTTGTTTTATTATTTTTTTACAGTAGCTAACTAAATCATAACATGTCTCTTCTAAAATATTAAGATCTTTTATTTTATTCAGATATTCTATTACTGTATTGGCTAATGGTGTAATAAGTGGACAAATATTTTTATTGTAATACCATGAGTTTATATTGGAAGTTGTAAGACTAATAAGAAGATTATAATATTTACTTAATAATACTAAACAAGGATATAATATAAATCTTCTAATTAGTTTTTGAAATGATGCTACATGACGATGATAAAAATGGAATTTTATGAATCGAAATGCATCTGATAAAGTTAAATTACTACCGTCCGCACATTGTATATTTAAGGGAGTAAATCGCAGAAGATTTAAGTAATCGTGTGCTACGTTCGCTTTAATTTGTCTTTTTTGAGATCCATCCATAAAATTATTTTCATTTTCAATAGGTTGGTAGGTGAATAAATCATAATGGATTATATTTTTTGGATAAAATAAATGTTTAGAGTTATGTGTACATGAGTTAGTATTTATTTCCTTCGTAATTTTATTTTCTAGATCCTTAGTTACCAAAATTAATTGCTCCATATTTAGTGTGCAAGATTCATCTATAATTTTTGGATATACTACAAATTTTGACACCACTATTTCATCATTACATTCATTTCTAATATAATGAAATAACTGTGCCGAAATATGTTCATGAATCTTCTGGTACCCTTCCAGTAATAGCAATATCTTATTTTCTTTTGTATTTTCATTAGATATGTTTATACTAATTATATTGACTGACCCTGATACATTGTTTAGATATAAATTTACAGCCATCAAGTCTCTCGCGTAATAATCACTTTTCAAACAGTATAATTCTGCAAGCATCAATAATATGATATCACTATGAGACTGAATTGCTTCTCCGTATTTTTTTAAATCTTCTTCAGAGATATTTTCGACAGTTTTATTAAAGCGTAACAAATATCGTTCACAATATATAAAATAACTGAATATGTATCTTGAAAAATTGCAATGACGTTCTTTTACGGATGTGCTTACTGCTGATAAGTTAACTAATAAACAAGTTAAAATAGTAAAATAAATCATTTTTAAAAAATATGTTTAGAAAATGCAGTAAAATAAAAATTAAAAAATAGATTTACTAAATCGTAGTGTTACTTGAATATATAATTTTTATTACACGACCTTTTAAAATGACTAAAGTTCTTTCGAATTAATTTGAAAGTAAACAATTTTTATAGAAATAGATCATTGAATTTTATCATATTTACATTTTTATATATAATTTATTTATCTCTGTATTTTTTTTTTAAATTAGTTAATTTAAATAAATATTAAAATAAATGATGGAACTTTAAAATCCCATATTTAATTCTTATACAGGTGTTGTAACTTATGATCGACTGAAAAGTTTGTGTTTATTTATTTATATTATCATTTTTACAGTTTGTTTATAAGTTAAAAGCAATTTTTTAGCTTCGATGCAAAGCTAAAAATGATGTTTTTTTTTATGTCTGTTACCACTTTATCTCAGCTCTCACTGGACCGATTTCTTTTAACAATACGTCAAAAGATCACAAATCGTATCTCATTGAAGACATTACACTTAAAAATTGAACATTTTTCTTTCGTTCCCCGCAAATGGGGGAAATCTACAAAAAAAATTACAATTTCTAAAATCGGTAAATTTGGTCATTTNACAAAAAAAATTACAATTTTTAAAATCGGTAAATTTGGTCATTTATTCACTTTTCTTTTCTTAAAACTTCCATAACTTTTTCAAAAATCAACAAATCAACATATTTTTTTTTATATTAAAACCTTAGATATTTCCCTTTCATTTGATATCATTTTTTTGAATATATAATACTTAACCTGCTCACAGAGAGGGATTTAAAATAGTAACTTTTTTACAAAACTAACTTTTTCAACTTAACTTTTGAAAATGTCCGGATAAACTGCGTCCTTTAAATTATATCAAATTAAAGCTTATGTTATGTACTATAAATTGAAAAAAAAAAAATTTGTCCCGACACATTATCTTCTACATGCAAACGGCTACCGCAGTTTAAAAAATGGTATTTTTGTGTTAAAATTTTCGATATTAAATTTTCAACTTTAAAATGCTATAACTTTTTAAAAAATGTATGTATCAATACAATTTTTTTTTTCTAAATACATTTTAAGTACATATTTCATTTGACATACATTTTATTAAAATTGGACAATTTCCTCTTATACAGTGTTGTATTTAAATATCACTTTGTTGTATTTAAATTATGGAACAATCTTTTTGTTCTAATTTATAGTTATAGTAGTTTAATAATAACGCAAAATGTAGTGAATAAAGATATAATCAATCAAAATAAAACATATAAAATATTGATACACTTAAAAACGGATAAATAAATAATACACAAAATAAAAAAACACAGCACAGGTGGGTCGCGGCACAGTGGTGACGTGGCATAGTTGGATCAAGTATAATGATATCTGACAGTGATTAAAATCACTATCAAAAAAAAACGCTTCGATGCAAATCTTTAGATAGTGTTTAATTTTAAAAAATTGGTGGATTATTCCAAAAGCTTCATAAACTGCTAGTTCCTTATTAATATCCTGATTAAGATAAAGTATGTCGAATGAAAAAGGGATTATTAAAAAATAGTATTTCCCATAAAAAAATTATATTGATCAATACACTTTTCAATAAGTTATAGCATTATAAAGTTAAAAATGTAAAAAATAAAATTGAGAATTTTCACACAATAATAGCATTTGGTAGCCATTTTCACCGTGAAGATAAAATAAAGTCCGAAATTTTTTTTTTCCATGATAAAGTATATTACATTAGCTTTAATTTAAGATATATATAAAAGTGTCAGACCTTCCGGAACAATTTCAAATGTTAAGTTGAAAAAATTAATTTTTTGTAAAAAAGTTGTCATTTTAAATCCCCTCCTGTGGGCAGGTAAAAAGTCAGATTTATAAAAAAAATATACCAAATGATAGGTAATGATAGGTAATGACATCATGCATCTATAAAAAAAAGAATTATATTGATATGTTTATTTTTAAAAAAGTTACGGCAGTTTTTAGTAAAAAAAATTGAAAAAATTTCGAAAATTAGCCATTTTTAAATTTGTAATTTTTTTGGAGGTTTCCCCCATGTACGGGGAACGAGGGAATTTTTTCCAATTTTTGAGGGTAATGTCTTCGACTAGATACGATTTGTGTTCTTTTGACGTATCATTGAAAGAAATCGGTTCGGTGAGAGCTGAGAAAAAGTGGTAACAGACACAATAAAGAAAAATAAAAAAAAAAAAACACATCTTAGTAAAACCAATACCTTCTCAGCTTCGCATCGAAGCTAAAACTTGATGTCACAAACGTACCACACGGGAAGAGATTACCTTCGGTACTCCCGAGGTCTTCTCTTTCTTTCCCCCTTTCCAATTCATTCCATTTCATCTTATACAGGGTGTTCAATAAGTCAGGAAAAGGGGTTTCTATTGTTCTCATTGTTTGTAACAATGAGAACAATAGAAACCCGTTTCCTGACTTACTGAACACCCTGTATACTAAAATATTTTGTTTGTCTTTTTATAAAATTCATATAGTAATCATTTTCAAAAAGGTTTATAAATATTTACTTCCTGATCTAGTAACAATAATTCGGGGAATTACAATTAATCCAAAGATTACAAAAGTGTTCTACTTCTAGGTTTACAAATAATAGACTATATTATATTTTAGTAATAATAGATCAAGAGATTCATAATGCCATAATTTTCAAAAATGTTTATAAATATTTACTTCTTGGTCTAGTAACAATAATTTGGGGAATTACAATTAATCTAAACATTACATAAGTGTTCTACTTCTAGATTTACAAATAATAGACTATATTATATTTTTGTAATAATAGATCAAGAAATTCATAGTTAAACCAAACATTACAAAAATGCTTTGTTTTCAGTTTTATAAAATAATGACCTATATTACACTATCCTATGTTAAAGTAAAAAATATACCCTCATATTTTAAATTAGTAAATTTCCATAATAAAGGATAAAAAGGAGGGAAAGAGAAAAAAAAATTGGAATTTTTGTGTAGTTTAAGTATATAAAATATATCTTTAAGGCAGTGAACTGAACCTTTTTTTTTTTTTTTTTATGTGTTTACATTTAATAGAGTATCTTATTTGTCATTAATAAACACGTTCACTTCTTTACATGTTATTTTATTATTAACATCCATGTATATCGATCATTTGTAATAGATTCATTTTATAACTTTTTATTGTTTTTTTTATAGAGGATAGGAAATTATTGGAATGAATTATGAAAATTTACTTTTTGTTTAATTACTATCATTATAATAATAATTTGAAATTCAAAGTTATTTTATTATTATTGTTATGTATATGCAAATATATATTTTTCTAAATTTATCTGAAAGGGTACAGGATTAAGTCAAAGTTAAAATTTTCGATATTAAATTTTTTTTTTTTTTTTATTATGAAAAGGCTTCGACAACTTATGGACATTAGCCTACAGTTTTTTTTTTTTTTTCATGATTATTATTTGTACATTAATTAAAGTTATAAGTTGACAATCAATTGATTTAAACTATATACACATATTTATCATTAAATTTTATACAATAATGTTATGAATTTACATTAAATTTACAAGTCTTGCGGTTTCATAGAATCTGTAAATGGCATCCGTGTTTGCTTCGCCCAGAGCTTCCTCCATGTTGTTGGGGTGGCCTAGTATACTCCGTTCATCATTGTATGTGGGACAGTGGAGTGTTAAGTGTTCAATGGTCAATGGTACTTCACATGTAGAGCAATACGGTTGTTCCTCTTTGTTGAAAATGTGTGAGTGTGTGAGTCTTGTATGCCCTATTCTGACTTTGGTGATAAGGGTATCTACTACGCGAGCTGGGTTGATAGGCGAACGCCATTTATGGACAGTTTTTTTAATGTTTTTTAATTTGTTATTGGTAGTACCATCCCATTGGGTTTGCCACTGTTGGACGGAAATTCGGTTGATTATTTTTAAAATATCTTTATATGGTAGTGACATTATTTTTGATGAGAAAGTAGAAGATATGGCTTGGTTAGCCAATGTGTCAACTTTTTCATTACCATTGATTCCAATATGTGATGGGACCCACATAAATTCAAAAATTTTATCAGAGTTATTAATGATGTTGCATATTTGGAGGGATAGTTCATTTGACGGGTTATTTGATGATAATGAAGTCAGGGCACTGTAGGAGTCACTTATGATTAGTACTTTATTCATCAGGGAGGATTCAGTGTAGGTAATTGCTTCTTTAATAGCAAAGATTTCAGCCGTGAAAATGCTTGCATCTGAGGGTAGTTGATATTAAATTATCAACTTTAAAATGCTATAACTTTTCAAAAAATGTATGTATCAATACAATTTTTTTTTCTAAATACATTTTAAGTACATATTTCATTTGACATACATTTTATTAAAATTGGACAATTTCCTCTTATACAGTTTATAGAGCTTTTAATTTAATAGTAATTGTGTCATTTGAATTTTGAAAGGTTACAAATATATAAAAAAAAATCAAATTAATTGGCCGCAACGAAAAATTTGTAACTTTCATGGCGTTTTACAAAGTTATAAGTAAAGGGTTGCCAACCTACTGGGCGAGACAGTATATTGTCGGACCACAGTAGGATTTTAAAAAAATTTAACTTTTTTATATTAAAACAATTAGAAAAAAAATATATAATTAATAAATATTAAAGTTGATGTCCGTTGAGTCGTTGATAGTAGATGTACACTAAAACCTCGTGACAGTTGTCACATAACCATATTAATGAGGGATGACCTTATACAAGGCCGTTGCCCGTACCTTATAAACTAGGGGAGTTGATTTTTGAAAGGAGAAAAAAAAATACACGAGTCCATTGAAGATGGGACACGCAAAAAAAAGAAAAATATGATGGTTCAGTTAAATTAAGGGGAATTTATTAAAAAAACAAAAAAAATTAAGTTAACACGAGGCAAAAAACCGAATGGTCAAAAAACCTCGTCTACAAATTAAAGGGGAACAAAGAAAGAGAGAAAAAAAATAGATATTAATAAAAAAAAATAGTTACACCTACACTTTTATTATTAGA